ATTCCCTGGAACATGTGAACATTACTTCATATGGCAAAGACTTCACAGGTGTGATTAAATTAAGGATCCTGAGATGGGAGATTATCTGGGGTTATCCGATGGGCCCTAAATGCGATACATGTGTCCTTATAAGAGAGAGGTAGAGGGAGATTTGACATAGAAGAGAAGGAGGCAACGTGACCACCAAGGCAGAGACTGGAGTGATGTGGCCACATGCCAAGAAATGTCGGCAGCTGCTAGAAGCTGGTAGAGGCAAGAAAGGGATTCTCCCCAAAGAGTCTGTAAGACTCTCCAGCTTCTCTAATCTCAATAGAAATCAGCAAACTTCTCCGGCCAGCCTTCCATTCCTTCCTTCTTTTGTTGGTGAGTCTGGTATCTACAACCCAGTCAACTTTGCACAAAACCACAGTTTAGATGGAAAATCACTTTGGGTTTCTGGCTCATCAGCAGTACTGCACATCTAATTAGCTCAACAATTGGTCCCTGTGATAAAATCAGCCAATTTTATGTTCAAATGGCTGCTCCGTGCTAAGCAATACTGTCACTCTAAACTTCACATACAAAGAAGTTGCTGAAAAAGCTGGTTACTAGGAGGTCACTGGGGGGCAAACTAGTGAAGACTATTAAATTAGTACCTAAGTCCATATAGTTAGGACATAGGGGTTCCATCAGGGCTCAAATAAGATGAATTCTCAGAATGTAGTGACAGGGCCAGAAATGCCAACTCTTAAAGGGGAAAACAGTTGGTAGATATAAAATAGGTGGAAGGACTCACCTGCAGAACCTCCCCGCGCTTAGAAACAAACCTGACATTTATGATGAGATTACAAAGTCTTGCATCCTAATCTAGTATTAAGAAATGACTTCCTATTAAAGACCTCTGTTGTTTCAGGAATTTGTTCAGGTTACTCTAGATAGAAAACATAGGCAAGCCAATCCACCTCTTCAGCTTCCTCACACCCTTCACTCACTGGCTAAGGCAGCTGGTGATATCTGAGATTCCCTCCCTACTCTGTGCGATCGCTGGAAACCAAATTACTTTTTAAGGTAAATGTCAAAGCACAGATATCATCATTATTATTTAGCTACATATATATATACTATATATATAAATATATTACATAAACTACATATATAACTGTATATTATATAACTATGTAATTGTAACAAGATTCCTGTTGAAAATCAAACTTGTGTCTTTCTCTGCACTAACAGAGGTGCCAGGAAGTCACTGAATCGCGGCAAACCATCCTTGAGACATTCTGGTCAGCTGCCTGGCCTGGGCAGGTTAAAGGAGCCCTTGTAACTCGACCTATCAGCTACCTCTCATGCATCAGCTCAGATCCTCTTGGCCTTACCTTTCTCCTCTCCTCTGCTGCAGTGCCCAGCTCTGCATGGACTCTAATTAGCTTTACGAAGGCACAACCCTCTAGCACCTTACCTCACACCCAAGCCATGTGCCTCTTGCCTCCTGCCCCAGGGACACGGTATCCTGAGCCCACACATGTGCAACCCAGAAGTGCAGCATGAACCCATGGAGATGGTATCCAATGGACATATGCTTCCCTTTGTCCCCCCAAATGACTGTCATTTCATAAGGACCAGACAACCGGTTACCAAAAGCAGTAGCAGGGACCAACCTGAATTGTTGCCCCTCCTCTTTTCCACTCGCCCTTCCCTGTACTCCCATCCACGGCACCACATGCCCCAGTAAGTCTTCACACACAAGCTTTTGTCCTGGGCTCTGCTCCCATGACACCCAGACTAAGATAAGAATCACAGTGGTCACCCATGTGCCGGTGCGCAGTTAGTCCTCCTGCTCCCAGGGGTGGTGACGCAGTCAGACTGTTTTTTATGAGTGTATGTATTTAATTTTCATATGCTTAGGTACAGAACACCCAAGAAGCATTTGGTTAATACAACTGTCTATAATATAAGATTAACATTCCCCAAATCTAAAAAGATAATGGAGACGTTATTAAAACAGTTAATTAATATTTAATATCTAAAATTTATTTCATATGTGTATCAGTTGTCTAAAATCAATGTGTATTCCACTCAAAGCTAAGGGTAAGAAACTATATTGGGGTAGAAACCATAAAATTGGGTTAGCCTCTTCATCATCACATGGAAGGTACTGACCTTTTGCACTTAAAATCTGCATTGTGAGCACCAAAATACCACCTCATTTTGAGATATTGTGAGGGAAATTAATATCCTTCTGGAGCATCTTAGTATTACTGTATTTCAGGACTGTGAAGTATTATAATAAACAATTTATAGATAGCATTAATCATAGGTAACTTTAAGTATTAACTACTAAGATTGCCTTAATAATCAAATATAATTGAATAGAACTTAATTTTTAAGTTCTTGCTGGGGCTGATTCTCTGTCGAGCCTAGAACAACATCCTGCCTGGTGCAGGCATTTCCACACCCATCTCTCAAATGTTGGTGTTCTTCAGGCCTAGGCCTTCTCCTCTCATCTCTTATCACTTTTCCTCAGTGATTCTATCAGCAACTTGGGCTTCATTCACTAAGTATATACAAACTCGCAATAATAATAAGGGCTGCCATTTGTTGAGCACTTACTACGTGAGAGGCCCTGCACTTTACAAGCATTAGGCCAGTTAACAGACATAACCGTCCTCCCTGCAAGGTAGGAACGGCCCACATCTTCTCCTAGCAACCATGTGAATGCCCATACCATCGGCATCTCCGACTCCACATTTCCAAACATAACCCATCTTCCCCACAAGTCTGCCTCTGTTCCTCCACACCATGGCACAAGTCATTGCTGTCCAGGAACGTGTGAGTCACCCTAGACTCCTCCCTCTCATTTATTCTCCTCTCCCAATCAGCTCCAAGTTCTATGAGTTCTAGTTCTTAAGTATCCCTGCATTCCATTCATCCTCTGACCATCCTAGACACAGCTCCCATCCTTTCTGGCCTGGAGTCCTGCAAAAGCCGCCCAACTCGTCTCTCTGTATTTAGTTACGTTTTTCTAATTCTGGTTACTCTACTAACTTAACCTTATGACACTGGGCATCTAAAATACAGGGGTAAAAGTGAGGTCTCTCTTCCTTATAGATGGGCTTAAGTAAATAAGATATAAGGCACTTGATAAAAAGTTCTCAGTTGACATATAAATTAAGGCAATTTGATGCTAGAGGCTACATGCTTAACTGCCACCATATATGTTCTGAAGCCCACCTTACCAGAAAAGTCATGATGAAAAGGGATATGAGGAAGATTAATTTATAATTATAAGTTTTTTCAGGTAGAAATATAAATATACTCAAATTACTCCAAAATTTAGCTTAAAATGACATACATTTATTATCTAGTGGTTTCTAGTTAGGTGCCTCTGGCTTGACATCTTTCATGAGGCTGCAGTCAAACTGTCACCTGGGGCTACAATCTCATCTGAAGGCCTGACTGAGGTTGAGGGGCTTCCAAGTTTGCTTAAGTGGTTCATGGAGGCCTTCGCCCCCTGCCACATGAGCCTGTACACAAGGCTGCCTGACAACACGGCTGCTGCTTTGCCCCTGGGCAAGTGATCCAAGGGACAGTGAGAGGGAAAGGGCCCCCAAGATGGAAGTCACAATCTTTAATAAACTCATCTCAGAGGTACTTCTGTCATTCAGTAGAAGTGAGTCATTACATCCAGGCCATACTCAAGGAAAGGGGATTACACAGCCAGAGACCACTAAGGGCCATCCTAGAGGCTGCCTACAGCCTTGCAGGGAGGGATGGGGTGTGCTGAGGAATAAGTGGGGCCCTATCAGCATCTCCCTTAGCCCTCTCTGCTTTCAGAGTTACACTGAGTTGCATGTCCTGCTAATTTTCCATCAGTAGATACACTCTTGTCCCTGCTTCCTTCTCACTGCCATCTCTGCAATGGGGGACAGGTGGAGAACACACACCTTCTTGGGAACTGTTGCATATCAGACTATTTACATAATTCTAAAATAGATCAGCATTACAGTAGCTACTAGCTCTGCTGTTCAACGTGAATCCAAATCAGGGGGGCGAGGGACAGGGTGTAAAAGGTGAAGAGATTAAGAAGTACAGATTGGTAGTTACAGAATAGCCACAGAGATGCAAACTGCAGCATAGGGAATATGGTCGGTAATATTGTAATAACTATGCAGGGGGCCTCACGCATACGTGAAATATCGGGGGAACCACTATGCAAAGTACATGACTGTCTAACTACTATGCTGTGTATCTGAAACTAATATAGGATAATATGGATTGTAAACTGTAATAAAAAACTAAGAAAAGTTTAATTTAATTTTAAAAATAAAGTAGATATAACTATAAAAAAGAAAAATATAACAATAATTAAAATTTAAACATTACCATGAAATTCTAAAAATTAAAGTAACTCAACTTATTTTTAAAAGAACTAAATTTCTATCAGAGATTTTAAAAATATGAGTTAACAGTGAAAATAATGATTTTAGGACATAATGTCCATATTTCTGAGAAGTATTTTTTATTATAATTCAACCTATAGGTACAAGTAAGACGGAGGGCGTTACAGGTTGGATGTGTGAACAGACACTGGAGAAAAGGGCCCTCTACAAGCCAAGGGGAAAGGCCAGGAGCAGATCCCTCTCGCACAGTCCCCAGAAGGAGCCACCCCTGCTGAAACCTTGATCTCAGACTTCCAGCCTCCAGAACCACAAGACAATACATTTCTGATATTCAAGACCCCCCACCGTCTATGGCACTTTGCTATGGCAGTCCTAGCAAGCAAATACGGAAAGAAAAAAGAGAAATGCATGAGAGACTATTATTAAAATCTCATTTAGCGCATTTATGGAACAGAGTGGCTCCATTCTAAGAGGCTGATAGAAATTCCCGAAAACTGTGCAAATGAAACCTAGTGCCAGGTGAAAAGAACCAAACTGTCCCTCCACAGGCGGGGCTGGACTGGCGGGGTGGATGGCGGCAGAAGGAGGAGCCCGGGAGGGGGCGACAGGAGACATTACCTTCTGGTAGTCTTCCCTGGACCGCAGGGCGGCCTCCATGTGCACGGCCGAGGGCGGATAGATGGCTGAGCGGTACTGAGAGCCGTGGTCATTGCCTTGGCGCATGCCTGGGAAAGTGGAAAGCAGGGTGGGTTACTGGGGGGACAGGACAGCAAGGTCAGTGTCACACGCTCTCTATGACTCATGTGCTAAGCGCTTCTTTTAGTTTTATCATTACACCTCTCTTCTTAAATAAACATGAAATGTATGTTTTGCTTTGCCTATTTCAATTATAACAAATATCTTCGAACTCAGTAAATTTATCACAGGTCTTGGATCACAGCAGATGTTCTTTAAATATGTATTTCTCTGCAGATATTTAAATCATAACCTAGTCCATTCATCACTTGCAAAAGCACTGATATTCATTATTTCTTTGGATCCTAATGAGACACCCTCTTTGGCAGGTTTTGTTGTCCCTCACATGGCAGATAAGGAAATGTGATGATGTACATGTCAGGGCCTGGATTGCTGCTTGGCACATGGGAGGTGCCTATAAGTGACACAGTGACCGATGCTCAGAGAGTTTAAAGAGTTTGCCTAAGATCATACACCTAATAAAAAAATAAACAACCCTGGGATTTAATGTTGCCCAGTGCACTTTCCACCCTGTCACAGCAGCTAGGATGTAGCTGGTGGTCAATTTCTAACTGAGTAATTTAGTCCCCAAAGCTTAATATAGATCCCCTACTGATCTATACTGTTGTCAAAATAAACTTCACATGTTTACTGAATCATTCAAGAATCAGTTTCAGTTTTAACAAGTGTCCTAAAACTCCAACATAAGATTTAACCTTCCAAGGAAACCAGTTTTGTATTTCAAACATGATGCACCCGTATCACCTGGGGATGTCATCAAAATGCAGGTCCTGATTCCACAGGTCTGGGGCGAGCCTGAAATTCTGCATTTCTAAATTGCTCATGGGCGGTGCAGGGTCACCAGACCAAACTTTGGGTAGCAAGGGTTTAGTGTTTGCCCAGATATTTTCAAGATTTCTTTATAATCTGTCAGCAACATTTTCAATTCCAGCAACGTGGTAAGGAAAACCTGAATCGTCCAAACTAAACTTTCGCAGGTGTGGCGTTGGCAATGCTCCCTCCATCCCACCATGTCATGTGCACACTTTTCATGGAACTCCTATCAACCTTAGTTGAAAGCATCTTCTCTCTGGAAAACCATCCCTGATGGCACCTCACAGCTCTAACAGACAGTCACGGACTCCTTTGGGCTCCATCGGGCCTTGCAGGTCCCTCTCTTAGAGGTTTTATCACACTACACTGTTATTATGTGGTCATCCCTCTTTCTCCTCTGTGAGAGAGCTTTACAGCCATAGTACCTGGTATAACATCAGGTATTGTTGCATGAAGAATATATGTGTTCACACCTTGAGATCCAAGGCCCTGCAATCAATACTGGAGCACTTTGTCACGCTTACTTTGTAAATGCAAATGCAAATTCAAATGTAAATAAAATAATCCTTCTTAGGAGCTATTGGAAAAAGCTACAAAAGAGCTGATACATTTGATCTTAGAGGTAAGCACAGGTGCTGAGGACACTAGAGGTTCACTATGGAGTTAATGGGTGGGCAAGCTAGAACTCATGATCAACACTGCAGGCCAACAACAGAGGGCTAAGTGGTAACAAAATAGTAGGATTTAGGGTCAACTAATAGGCTACCTAGTAAATGGGTGTACGGGTGTGTGTGAGGGGGATATTTCCAATGCCTACTTGTTCATACTCCCAGTGTAGCTGACTTCCTGGAAATCTCCTCCCACGTCTCCTAGCTGCACAAAGGTCAATGGGGACCAGGAACTCATTAGTGGCTAAAAGAGCCAATAATGACACAAAAATATTAATTTAATAATATACAATAAAAATAAACCATCTCATCCCTCCAATAAACAAATACAAAATTAAAATATCGATTTCATTTCTGTGTACGTTACATATTCACATAAGCATTCTAGTGTTATTATAGTATATAATATGTAAGTATTATTACAGTATAAATATTACTTATAGTACATACTATATAAGTATTATCGAGTATAAGTATTACTTATTAAGCACCTAATATGTGCCAAGTACTTTTCCAGATGCTGAGGATACAGCAATGAATGAAAGCAAACCCTCCCCTCACAGAGCTCACATTCTGGTGGAATCTAAGAGACTGGAGAGATATAGTTCCAGAAGGGCACTGTGGCAATATTTTCACTTTGCCTTCTTCAGTTTTCCCTCCTTCACCTACAAGTAGGGCTTTTCTTGCAATGACTACTTCCCATCCTTTTATGCATAAAGACACAATGGTAGTAACATTCTTTTCCACAAAGAAAAAAGATTGCTGGATGGCTGATTTTCGGTAAAACCTGACCTCTTCCCATTCAAGATGTAGAAAAGCGGGGTCTCTGTGTAGCGCTGTTTAAATCTATTTAAGTTTTCTTTCTTTTAAAAGAGAAATTAGTATGTGAGTAAAAGAGAATGTGCAGGTGTGACATTTCTATTTTCAACAAGTTTTGCTAAGATCCCTTATGCCTTGTACACTGAAGACAATAAATACCTGTATGCTTGGTTGAAGGTCTCTGAATTATCATAGGATCGTTGCTTATAGATAAATACCGGCTTTTTTTATCAAACACAATGAGAATAACGAGGAATTATTTCAAGGAAATGGTATTATAATGGGCTCTTCCATTAATCTTATTTTCACAAATAATCTGATAGCTGCAGTGCATAATGAAACCCTTAAGCTTACATCCATATTTAGAGCTTCTCTTGTAGTGACATGACAACCTAAGGGGTAGAAACATCTGGAAGATTTTACAAAATTGTGTGGCTAGAAAGAAAAGATGCACATGACAGCCATTCTAGGCAAGTATGTAAGACAACGAATTTCTTTTTTTTGTCCTTTAGATTTTTTTCTAAAATTTATTTTTCAGTCATAGTTGACATACAGCATTATATTAGTTTTGGGTGTGCACCATAGTGATTAGACATTTATATACCTTCCGAAGTGATCACCCCGGTAAGTCTAGTTCCCACCTGGCATCATACAGTTATTACAGCATCATTGGCTATATGTGTTATGCTGCACTTTTCATCTGCATGACTATTTTTATAACTGGCAATTTGTAATTCTTAATCTCTTCACCCTTTTCATCTACCCTCAACACCCCTTCCGTCTGGTGACTATCAGTTTGTTCTTTGTATCTATAAGTTTGTTTCTGTTTTGTCTGTTCACTTATTTTGTCTTAGGTTCCCCATATAAGTGAAATCATACAGTATTTGTCTTTCTCTGTCTGACTTATTTCATTAGCATAATACTCTCTACCATCTATGTTGTTGCAAATGGCAAGATTTCATTCTTTTTATGGTCAAGTAATAATATTCCATTGTTTATAAGTAACACATCTTCTTTACCCATTGAATAAAATACCTAGGAATAAATTTAACCAAGGAGGTAAAAGATTTGTGTACTTGAATGTAAGACATTGAAGAAAGAAACTGAAGAATATACAAATAAATGGAAGAAAATACCATACTCATGAATTGGAAGTACTAACATCATTAAATGTCCATACTAACCAATGCAATCTACAGAATAGATGCAATCCCTATCAAAACATCAATTTTTCAAGGCAATGCATTTCTATAAAAAACAATCCATGTATTATTTATGTAATTAGAGGTTATACTACTGCTGAAATCTAGGACAGGGATTTGTAGACCCTTCCCTGAAACCATGATCCCTTGATTTAAATTCTAATTTGGTCATCTGTTAATTGTAATACTACAATACTGATATAGCTCTCGCCATTGTTGCCCTTCTCTTCTTTGTGCAGATATGAGGTGTCCCCAACTCGCTCTGGGCAGCTTTAAAGAGGTGTAACATCGTGGGCATCATCCATAGCTCTGCTCCAGACTCCCTGCATCCTTTCCCTTTGCAGGAACCCAAACTGACTATTCATCCACCGGAAAGATGGGAGTTATTCACACAGTTACAGCCACCACCTGCAGGCAGAAGTCTTACAATTTGAATTTACAGCCCTGACTTTCTTACCCTTCTTGGATGTTCTAATGAAACTAAAAGCTCCCTATGTCAGAAACAATACACATTCCCTTCCTGGTCACTTTGGTTCACCCTCTGCAAAGACAAGGAAGTGCTAAAGAGATACATACAATAGGGGGTGGAGAGAAAACATCAAAGCCATTATTCAGATTCCTTGAATCCTAGGTGATACTGGACGAGACATTAACTCTGGTCTACTCATGGATAAGTATGCTAATTTGATTGATTCCCACCCCCCCCCAATCAATGTTCATCCTGAGAAGAAAGTATACTATCTTAAAACCATACACACATACTCACAACTTGTGTGTGTGTTTGGTTAATTCCAATGCATGTTCCTTTCATTTCACTGATGAAGGGGCTTATTAAATGGATAGGAGCTTGAAATTTGGAAGCAGATGGTTCATTGGGAAATATGATTTGATGCTCAACAGACTGAAAATCCCAAAGATCTATGGATTTTCTGTTCTTGTTATTTTTAATACGTTGCATTTACAGATGTTTAGCATCATTAAACTTTTCACCGTTTCTTTCAACCTCCATTGGTTTATGTTATGAATGCAAAACAGTAATTCAATGTGAGGAAAACCTGTTTACTAAATCTCTTGTAAGAAGCCTAGGACTGAGAAATATAAGATCTTGTTTTTAAGTCTGACTTTGCCACTGTCATACTTAATGCAAATTACTCAGTCTTTTTGAGCCTCAAACCTCCTTTGTAAACCAGGAATTATAACTCATAGGTTTGTGGTGAGGAGTAAATAAAGATAAAACCTGGAAAGCACTTTGACAACTATAGAAAATTATGTAGATGTTAAATAACTTTTATTTGTACAACTTTTAATAATCTTAGACTATTTCAGAACTACTTTTGAAATAAAAGTAACAAATGACATCACACAAGATACTCTAGCAGTAGCCATTTTTTCCCTTGAAAAGCATCATTTATATTAATCTCTCAGATATTCACACAGCAGAAGTCATACAGATAAATCCAAAGAGAG